TTTTTAATTGTTCATGGGTTTTTGGTTTTAATTGTGAGCCACCCAGAGTCACCCGTTGGGGAAGATGGGCGACATACAAATTAAATAAATAAATAAATAAATAAATAAATAAATAATCATAGGATACATTTACTGGGAATTGTATCTAATACCTATATCAGTATTCCTCAATCCAGTGCTTTCCAAATATGTCAATTTATATTCCATGGTGCTTGAGGATTATGGACATTGTGGTCCAGCATATCTGGAGGGGGATTTGTTGAGCAAGCCTACCTAAATGGTGTCTGCTTTCTTCCCTCAAACACACAAATGTGTCATCCAGGTATGATATGGTAGATTTACTTTATTTTAAATATATATATTGGGAACTCTCATTCCTGTATACTTCGACTCATACTATTTGTATTTCAATAGGTAAACAGTAATTAACCTTTTTTCCTTAATTGTACTCATGAAATAATGTTTCAAAGAAAGCATATTTTTAAACTGGATATCTATTATAGGCAGAAGTCTGTACGTTCTGCCTTTTTTTCTGTTCAAAATTAAAAGCTAAACTCTCCCAGCCCTTTTTCTCTTTTTCAAAAGAACAACTGCAATGACTTTTGGAAGAATTTCAATTCTTTTTTATTAAGTAAAAAAAAAAAAATACATGTAGAAAAAGTCATTTCATATTTTGTACAGTTAAAGCATTAAATCATTAAAACTTTAAGATTAGTATTAAGTATTAAGATGTTGCTCAATATGCTAATCACAGTTATTGAAATTTAGTAAAACTAATCTGTATATTTCATTTGTTTTACATAAGGACATTTGACATAGTACAAGCAAGAAGGTTGCCCAGTTTAAGTGCCAGTTTCACACATCCTTTCTCCAGATTGCTATATGAAGCTGCACATAATATAAACACATATTCTTGTCTCTAGTTAGGCATATTATATTTAATGACCATATGGTCATTATGGTATAAGATCTACTGTCTCTTTTATTTATATTCCTCAAGCATATTGTTCCTTCAACTTCACAGTGTGTTAAACTATTTCAGAGGGAAAAAACCCTTTCCCTCTTGTTTCTGGTTGTCCTATCAAGTGTAACCTTGGACCCTTATAGAGCAATTAGATCAGCCTCTATCCCCTCCTTTGTAATGAGGTTTCTTGCATTTCTGAGACTATAACCCTTTAGTCTTCCCTAATGGGACATCATTATTCTGAAAGAAACAATGTAAATGTAAATGAATATTCTCATTAACGAGTCACAGAGAAACCTTTAGTGGTAGCGCTGTGGTAATTCTGCTTGTTATTTCTCTGGTATACCATGCAGGTTTTTTTTTTTATAATTCATTATTAGTATTCAAAATTACTTGTTCTTTAATTTTGCATGTCTTTCATAATCCAATGTTCCAACCATTTCAACCATGTCCTTGTTTTATTCTCCAGGAACCACCTGTGAAACGTTCAAGGTCTCTGTCCCCAAAGAGCTTTTTGAAAGAGTCAGAAGAACTAAGGAAGCTCAAAATAGCTGAAGGAAAGATAGAAAACTTAGAAAAGACACTACAACTAAAGGTGAAGATGAAAATACATAACTTTTTTAGTTGGCATAAATAGATCTAAAACAAAATTTGCACAACTTATGGTACATTGCATTGTCTGTTGAAATTGAAAATGAGTTAGGTGGAAGATACGTTTTTTTTCCTGTACATAAAGGCATATCACTTTTTTTTTCTTTGCATAATTTTCTGTATGTAAAATGTTGCAGCTGTAATATAAATAGTCCGGAAGATGTTTTAATTAAAAATTGTAGGATCTGGATCTCTGCAAATATATTTGTGTACTCTTAAGATGAGTTGTTTGTGTGTTTCACATGATATAAATTACCTATATAAAGTTTAAATGGCATTGTTTGCCACTCCATGTTTATATGTAGTGCCTATGCCTTGAATCTCCATTTCCTACCACATGGATAGTAGAATCAACATGTGTAGCTATTTCAGGATCACTAGTGCAAAATCTGTGGTCTCTGTATATAGTCCTGTGAAAAAGTACTTTTTCAGTATGTAAAGTTTTTTTTTCTTTTAACATATATGGACATACAAACATTTTATCTTCATTCAAACGTGTATAAAGATAAAGGTGATATAACTGAACAAAAAATATGAAAAATTGACTTTGCAGTCATTTATTCAACAAAAAATTAACAGATATGCTATGTGGAAAAAGGAAGTACACCCTTGGCTCTAATACCTGGTATTGCCCTTTTGGCAGAAACAACCTCAAGTAGGCATTTTTTAAGAACTATCTACCAGTCTCCAATAATGACCAGGAGGAATTTTTTCTCATTCCTCCATACAGATTTTTTTCAGTTGTGCAATATTTGAGGAATTTTTGCATGCATAGACCATTTCAAATCAGTCCACTGCATCTCAATGGGATTTTGATCCAAACTTTGACTTAACCATTCCAGAACCTTTCATTGCTTTTTTTCAGCCATTCCTTGGTGAATTTACTGGGATGTTTAGAGTCACTGTCATGTTGCAAGGTCAACTTTCAGTTGAGCTTCAGTCTTCTGACAGTTGGTCTCACATTATCCTCAAGCACCCTGTGGTACAATGACGAATTCTTAGTAAATTCTGTGATGGTGAGCTAGTCATGCCCTGATGCAGCAAAGCAGCTCCAGACCATAACATTTCCACCACCATGCTTTACAGATGATATCAAGTTTTTCTGGTGAAATGCTGTCTTTGGTTTTCACCAGACATGGTACTGGTACTGTGGCCAGGTAACTCTAGCTTTGCCTTGTCTGTCCAGAGCACATTGTTCAGAAATCCTGGTCTTTGCCTAGATGTTAATGAGCAACTTTAATCTTGCCCTGATGTTCTTTCTTGATAGCATAATTTCCTCCTGGCACACCTCATATATAAATTCAATTTGTGCAGCTCTTTTCTAATGGTAGACTCAAGCACTTTGACATCAGTAGTGGTGACAGATACCTGTAGGCTACGTGATAAAATTCTGGGGTTCTTAGAAACTTCTCTCAGCATCTTGTGTTCTGCTCTCAGGCTGAATTTGTTGGGACAGCCTGGCCTGGGCAAGTTGGCAGTTGTTTGAAATCTTCTCCACTTGTCGATGGTCTTCTGGACAGTGGAATGATTGATGTCCATTTATTTGGCAATAATTTTAAATCCCTTCCCAGATTCATAGGCATCTCTAACCTTCTTTCTGAAGGCCTCAGAGTGCTCTTTCAATCTAGGCATGGTGATGCCACACACTTTAACAACAAAGAGCAAATCAGACTAAATGTTCTTAGATTTCAATAAGGCAAGTTCTTCCCAAATCCCCTCTAATGATGTTCTAATCATCAGTAATTAACCTTTTTTCCTTAATTGTACTC